TTCAACTTTTTTTAAATCAAATTTTTTAACTTCAGCATAAAATTGTCGTAGAATAGTTGGATTTTGTTCAATACATGGTGTTTGTTCAAGATATTTTAATGTTTCATATGTAACTGTATTTAAACCAAAATTACAATGTTCAAGTGTACGATTTTGTCCTTTTTTTCCACGTTTACCATTTTCACGTTCATTATTTGTTTCATGAAGTTGTTTAACAACAAGATAGGTTTCATAATTTGATAATGGACGAATTGAATCACGTTGAAAATCCATTGATTTTTATTCTTATTTGAAAAACAAAATAATCTATAATAAAGAACATCTTGTTGTTTCTCTATTTTAGGAGAAAAGGACATCGTAGGGGATGCGATCTAATATACAACCAAAAAAAAAACTAGGATCACAAAAAAAAACTGAAGAGTAGAAGGATTAAAATGTTTAATATTTATGGTCAGTCCAACGGTTACTTGTACGTTCTTTAAAACCACGATCGACATAATCAGTTGAATCAAGTGTTTTCCATGAACTTATACTCTATTAAACAAAAATTGAACAATGAAAAACAGAATATATATAATATTTACTTCAACATGGTTTCCTTTATAACCATAAACTTGAACTCCACCATATTTTTCCCATTCCTATAATAATACAAGAACATTATTATGAAAAATAAAGTTCATAGAACATACTTGTTTATGATAAAGCACCATATATATTCCACTTAAGACACCCAAATGAATAAGAAGAAATTTTGGAACTGTTTGACGAAGCACAGATGCTGCAGTATTACCCTATAAAACATATATATCGTCATCATTTTTCTATAAAATTGTTTATGAATACATACAACAACTGGACGTAATCGATTGAATATACTATCCCAAAATACCATCCATCTATAACGAATAGGGTTTTTATGAAGTTTATGTAGATTTGGTACATTTTTAGGTTCATCGGCTGCTAGAACTTGATCTTGAAGCCATTGTTTACGCCATAAACGTTCTTCATTTGTCATACGAAATGGTAAACGTGAACGTTCATATTTAAATGGTTGAATATTAAAATCACGTTCCCATATTGGAAATTTATCTCGGATATCATGAGGATATAAATAACGTTGTTCTTCCCATGAAGAATGACCTGCCATAATCAAATTTTTGACTAGACAGTCTCCAAAAAAAATAAATATTCTAAAATATTATTCAAAAAAACAGATATTAGATAATCTTTTTGATCGTTTGAGTTGATTTCTATCTAAATACAATATTTCTAAGAATAAAACAAAACAAAAATTGTTTATTTGTAAGTAAAATCAAAGGCGCTACTATCTATGTAAATATTTCATTGATTGTAGCAAAGAAAAATTTAATTAGACTTATAACATCATGTTTATCTTTCATTTATTTCATAATAGAGATAAAAAGTATTCATTTGTAATAACTGAAATTCTTATTTGTGTGACTATTTCGTGGACATTAACTTTCATCCTATTGGGTAATTGGATTTTTCTCTTCTTTTTCTCTTTACTATCCATTACTTTTACCAACCATGTGTTTGGGGCATGCAGCTCACATCATCATTGTCGTCATCACAAAAACATACGAAACGGACGGACGAGAGAGTATAAAAAAGTAACTCGTCCGGTCGTTCTCATTCCAATAAAGTAATATAGACGAGGGACAAACGAAGAGAAAAATATATTCTCTCGTGTTTCGCGAGTAGGCGTGTTAGAAATAGATATAACGGTATAAAAAGCTTTTGGACAGACAGCTTATTAAATTTATTTAATCATATATATATCTATACATGTATCAATGTCTCTTGATTTGGAGATGAAAAGAGTTCTTTTTTTTTCTCTTTCATTTAGATCATTATATTAACATTAGTGAAAGTCACGCATATATATACATTTAATTTAACAAAGTCCGATGTTGATCATCATTTGCTGATGTCTACCACGACACAAGGCTCTACATTAAATCAAGACGAAATAACTTTAAATACTACAACTAATACAACTATTACAGTGACTGAACAAGAATTTCTTGTTATTGGCGACAATATCGATTGTCGACGTAACGAGGCATTTGATTTGCCAAAATCAAAAAAATTTAAATCATCAACAACAATTATAAGTAACGGGAGTGAATCGATCATTATGTCATCAAATGGTAATGGAACAAATCCTGCTGAAACTATGGAACATACTAATGGCGCAATGAATTGTAATGGGGTATGTTTTTCTCTTTATTTATTAGTCTAATAAAGATAGATATTACTCATATTGTTATCTATTGGAAATGAGTCTGTTTTTGCGCGAAAAAAAATGAACTATTGTGAATAAAAAATGGTTTATTTTCGAACAAATTTTTGTTTTAAATCTACAAGTAATAGTACTCATCAATATGTTCATGTAAGTGTCCCCATATGTTTGCTCTTCATTATAGTTCCACTCACATTGACTGACATCTGTTTTTACAAAAAAA